GTAAGTTTATGATAATAAATGTATTCTAATGAATGAACTTTTTTTGCCGTTAAAAGGTAAATATGCAAATTAACAGTTATAGTTCTGTGTTAATAGTTTTGATAGTTTCAATACATTATATTAAACTTTTCAAAAGTTTTGAACTTAGTTGACACAGATGATATGTATGAAAAGTTATTGTTTACGTATATTTATGCCTTTAATACAGATTTGTTGCTATTGTTGTATTTTAATAGTTTGGATAGCTTCAATACTTGATAGTAAACTTATTCGATTGATTGAACTTGGTTTCTATGGTTGATATGGGAGAAAATGTTATCGTTTATGTCTGTTTGAGAATATTTTTGCATATAAAAGGCAAATATACAAATTAAACATTTTGATGGCTTTCAACATATTGAATGGCTTTAATCCTTGATATTAAACCGAATGAAAATAATTGAATTTGATTTTCATGATCGATATGTGTGAAAGCCTAAAATTATTTTATTGTTTGCGTATGTTTAAGACTATTGTGTTGTTACGGGGTTAAAATATAAATACATGAGATTAAAATTATTCAAAATTTTAATACTTAATTGACAGGTTTGATATGCATGAATAAGTTACGGTTAATATGTATCATATCAAATAACATATGCTTTTGTATAGGAGAACGAGATGGGTGGTACAATTAGACATGTAAAACTTTTTCACATAACACAAAAAAAAAATATGAATCTTACATGAATATCGAAACACAAGAAATTATAGTAGTTTGTATCATCTATTTTAACAGAAAGTAAATATTTACTCTTTTTAACATATAATCAATTAATCATTAAACTTGATAGTTGTATATGATAAATTCACAGGAAAAAGCAAAAAAAAATGGCTGCTGAGATTGAAGTAGCATTTGATGATTCTCTCAACATGCAAGAAATGAAAAATTGGATATTCATAAAAATTGCTGAAAAAGAAAGACATTGATGGGTTCGGGGCCTTAAATTGGGTCCAAAACCATCTGCCTACTATGGACATAGCTCTCTGCAATTTATATTCTTAGCAAGTCAGTCTTCGCGAGACATTTCAATATTGAGAGGGGAGTTGCTAACTATGCAACAATGTTTTCAGCAAATGAAAGCAGAAAGAGAACAGGAGCATGCCAAAATTACGAAAAAACGTACTAGAATGGAGCAAGAGCATGCTAAATTTCAGTAGTTGCATGATCAATTCGATCATTTTATAAATCTTGTGTAACAACAATTTCCAGGAAATGATCTTGATGTTCCACCAACTCAAGTATTATAATTAGAAAATATTTAAATTTTTAAATATATAAAAAGCTTACAATGAAGTGTTAAAAATTGTATGGTATTATTTAGTAGGTTCTTGAGCACGCTAGTGACCAAGGTGAAAATTTTTCTTCATCAATTGGCAATCAGTAAAATTTATGCAGTCATTCATTTCATACATTTTAATTTTTTATTTTGTTAATGTATTAAAAATATTTGAATGCTGTTATACTAATTATTAAAATTTGTATTAATTATATGTATATTTAAACGTGAATGAAGTTAATATAAATTTCAGTTTCTAAATTTAAGCCCTTTAATGAAAATAAAATTTATTAAAAAAAATTAAAATATATATATACATTTTTACATAATGACAGTGTTTGTGTTTGACAATGTCGTTAAATGAATAATTTAACGGCATTTGTAGCATAAAACACCACTATAAGTAGTGGCGTTCTTACCAGCAAACACTGCTAGTTAAATGACATTTTTTATACAAATATTACTAAAGTAACGATGTTTTTCTCATAAAAATGTCACTGAATTAGCGACGAGTAAAAGATACAAACGTCGCTAATATAGAGGTATTTTCATATTCAAACGCCTCTAAAGGAACGACGTTTGCAGTTACAAACGCCACCAAAGCAACAGCGTTTTTTCTCATAAAAACATCACTAATTTAGCAGCGTCTCAAAAATAGAAATGTTGCTAAAATGACAATGTTTCAGATATAAACGTCGCTAATATTGGGGTATTTTTTTGAAAATGCTGCTATTTACCGTGACACGTGTATAGTCGACACTCTGCATGGTATTTTTTGCAAACTCCGCAATTCTTTTTTGTGGCATTCATAAACGCTGCTAAATGTTAAAAAAAACATCACTAAAAATCAAAAGCCTTGTAATGTATCATGAATCAAACAAAGTATACACACACACACACACACACATATATATATATATATATGCATTTTTAAAATAAAAACTGTAGGATCAAGATATGATAAATTATTTTTTTACAAATAAAAAATAAAAATGTATATTCTTTAATCAAGATAGTATAAAAATTAGTTTTAATTTTAAAAATTAAAATTATAATAAAATATATGTGGATCCAACAGGCTAAAAAGCTAGTTAATTTCCTTAAAGCACAAAACTAAGCGAGTTTGAACATCTCATTCCGCTAAATTTACTGTTTAAATGCATGGATGAAATCGAAAATGTTGTAACCTAATTTCTCTGGAATTATATGACGAATCTTAAAACGAAAATTTTGATAAACGTTGAATCTTAAAATAAGCACTTATCTTAGATGTAATGTGGTTATATACCATATTAAAGATGAAACTTAAATTTTAACTTTGAAGCTTGATGTATATGATAGGGAGACATCACCGTATTAAGGAGAGTAAAAAAATGTATGACAGTAAAAAAATCTAACAGTAATTCAAGTGAAATAGAAAGTAACATGAATTTCATGTGACTCCTAATATATGATTCACACACAATAAAATTGTTTAGTTGAAAAAGAAATTAAAACAAAATTAAGTCCGACACATGAACTTAATTATTCTTTTTCCTGTCTAGATAATGTATTGATGAATTAGGTTGGCTTTTGATGATGCAACATTGTAGTAAGCCGCATATGGTGGGTCTGTTAATCCCTAAAAATTAAACTAAACTTTCCTACTAAAGGGACAAGAATAGTGCTAAGAAATAAAAAGCTAATAGAGAAAGATAGATATGTCAATTTTAATAAATACCAAATAACATAATAGTGATATGATTTAAAAATTTAAAAATAATTATAAATAAATTTAATAAAATAAAAATATATTTTATTTTTAACATATTTATATTAATTTTATATAATAATTTTTATATTTTATACATATTTAAAATAAAATAAAGATGACAGATACATCAATTATCAAATTTAAAGAAAGAAAGTGATCATCTTGATGATCTATCCATTTTCTAGTAGGAGAAAAATTCCATGAAAAGAGATTGGGAATTGTTGAAGCAATAAGAAAACTCAACAATCGACGTACACTTTGGATTCATTAGTTAAACCATGAAAAGGGACGAGGGAAACTATGGCTCTTAGTTCGAATAAAAATTCGTACAAGGTTGTTTGACTTTTGGGTTATTTTTATTCCAACGGTCGCACAAGTTTTTCATTTACCTACCATTTAGAAATTACTGCTACAATCCTCAAGCATTCTCTGCCTGCCGCGTCTTCTTCTTTGACATTAATAGCCGCCGCCCCCATGGTGATATATGCATAAATATTCTGGGACAATTAAAGCTACGCAAATAAGACTATATTTATTAAAGGGTAGGAGGATAAGATAATATACAATGCCACTTTTTATTAAAATATTAAAAGAATTTCTAAATTTTATCATTTTATTTAAATAAATTTATTTTTTATTTTACTTAAATAATTTTTATTTTTTATTTATATTTAAATGTCTTTATTTCAAATAAAAAATTAATTTATGATAAGAACTTATTTAGATATAAATTAAAATATTATGATTTATTTTGGATATAAATTAAAAATAAAAATTTATTTGGATAAAAAAAATAAAAAATTTATTTAAGTGTAATAAAAATATAAAAATTTATCTAAATAAATTGATAAAATTCAATAATTTCTTTTATTATTTTAGTCATTACTATTATTTTAGAAAACTCTTTGAAGTTATCAACTATCTTTCATATCAGTTAGCATATTCTTAGAATTAATATTTTGAGGTTGTGGATTGAAAAGAGTTAAGATGTATAATATTTTTTTCAATCAAGTATGTAATAGGATGGAGATTTAAAAATAAATTAAGAACTTAAAAAAAAATTACTTTGAAGTTTGAATATTAAAGCATATGCATTTATTATTCAATAAATGCTCAAATATATACATAAAATTTCTTTTTATATGTTTTCTTACTGATCATATGCTATCATGTAGGCTAAGATTTGGATTATTTGTTTAATTTTTTATTTTGCATTTCTTACAAAAATAACTAAGAAAACTAGGCTTATGTACAATTTTTTGTTTTTTTTTTTTTTTTAAGTAGGCTTATGTACATTTTTAGCATATATCACTTTTCCGGTTTTGAATCCAGTAACCCTTAAAATTTAAAATTCAATTTGTTAATAGTTAGTGGCTTGAAAATTGAAATCTGTAAACTATAACAATTGGTACAACTCGTAATCTTTGGGGAATGTAGGTCAAAAGAGTACCGCAATAAATGGATAATCTCTGGAGATGGGTTACCTCATAAATCATTAAGTAACAATGATTGTTGCTTACATAGTTGAATGCATTTTCAATACAAACCGCTAATTTAGGAACAAATCGTGGCTAGCCTTTGGCAGTTGGGAGAATCGCTGTTGGGTTATTATGGATGAGTTTGTACCACTTTGGAATAAGAATTGCGCACTAGATTCTACCACTACCTTCTTCACAGCCAAATTTGATTTTATTTGATAGGAATTAATTTTTAATTATTGTAATTAAAAATTTAAAATTTTATCGATAGATTACCCACTATGCCGAAAGCCAAATTTAAACCAAACTTGGGGCTTTGGATTTGGTATATCACCAAAGAAGTGCTAATTACTTGCACAAAATGCTTTCATTACGGGACGAAAGAAAAAAAAAAAAAAAAACAAGGAAAAGCTACCTTTACATTATCCAAAACCCACCAAACCAAGTCAGGAATGCATAAAGCAAGGATGATAGTTGTAATTTGAAGACATTGACTGCTCTGGAATAATGGAATAATATTATATGTTGGAACTGTTGTAGTAACAGAGCAAAGCATAAACTTTAATAGAACTGAATCGATTTTGAGAAAGAGAATGGTCAAGGCGAGGCTGTGCAATCTGTTCTGCTTCACCACGCCGCATCAGAAACTTGTACAGAAACCTATCAACATAGCCTCACACGTGCCTTTCTCTGTACGTTTGCGTTCAACGGGGAGATCGACCCCTGTTTGTCAAATTCCTGTCTGTCTGTCAACATTTGGCAGGTTCGTCGATTTGGCAAAAGGAATCTCGGCAAAAAAAATCTATGCTAGTGCTAGTAGAAATTATACTTTGTTCATATATACAAGATTAGATTTAGTGAATTAATGTGACAAATTAAACTTAACAAAAACCTTTCTGGAAAGATCCTGCCAATGAACCATAAATTCTTCTTTCCATTTAATCTCAGTAAAAATCTACATTTCCCGAATTGTAAAATAGAGAAGAGACCCCATAGAAAAGATAGATTAAAAAAAAAAAAAGAAAAAGAAAAGGTAGGAGTAAAACAAGGGGAAAAGGAATTTATAAGCTACAGAAAGCAAAGCTCACACCAATCAAACATGAAATCTGATATACAGACCGACAGCCCCCCACCTAAGAAAAGGGCCTAAAGCATAACCTTGAGCTCTCTTTTACGAAACGGAACCCACCTAGAAAAACCCAACATCCACCTAAGGAGATCACCGGGAAAATTCATTTCCTAAAAAAATGAAAAATCAATGGTTCTGACTCTCCTGACTTAAGGATTGATAAGTCCCCGTGGTCCCACTCTGCACCACATCATCGCCAACAACACCACTCCCCTGCTTCTCTCCTTCCTCCTCCAATTTCTCATCCTTTTCACAGCAACAGCTTTTATCACTCTTGTCGCCAAAAGAAGAAGACCTGCTAGAAGAAATGGGAGTGGCCAAGAACGTTGGCTTTACTTCTCCAGCCATTATCACAAGAAACTTTTGGTCCATAACAGGGGCCCCTCCTTTCTGGGTCTCATCTCCTTTACCTTCTCCTGCTTCCAAGTCTCTCTCTCCTTCCCCTCCCTCACCGTTGTCAAGGTAGCGTGACAGTTTCCAATAAGAACAAGCTAGGATGAGAAGCGCAAAAGCTATGAGACCAAGCATGGCAGCCAATCCACCGAACAAGTACGGAACCGGTGAATGCCATGGTGAGTGTGGAGTCGTTGTGACTCCAGAAGGAGTTTTTGTCGTATCATCGAATGGCTCTCCTGCCGCCATTTTTGTTTGCTTTCAGTTCGAAGCTTGAAGCAAAATTTATAGAAAGGGAAAAAGAAAACGAAAAGCAAAGATCGTTGTTTCAGTGAGCGGTGGGGAGTGGTTGCAAAGGTATTTATAGAAGGAAGAAGGGTGGTTTTAGAATGTGTGGGTAATTTGTTTAGGTTTTAGGTGATCTATGGCGTCATTTTTTGCACTCATATTGAAGGGGCCACAATGTGGGCTCCATCAGAGTTCTTGGGGAATTTCCAAAGAAAACACATCCTAAAAAGTATTGACTGTTTGTATGATAGAAATTTTTGAGCTGAGAAACAGCTAAACCTTGGTCTTCCTTATCATTCATACGTGGATTGCACCTTTAAAAATTTTAGTGACAGTCAATTAGTTTCACAATTTTTATACGTAAAAGCATGGTTTCATCGCCATTTAATTTGATAATATTAAAAGATTAATAGTAGGTAAGTAAACTATTTTTAATTTAATTGATAGCAGTTGCACGAATCTAACATAAACTTTACATCATACAATTTTAAATTCAAATAATTATGAATTGAATATATTATATATATGATAGTTAATTTATGATTCAAATTTGGTTTAAGCTCATTTTGATTTGAGTCCTTTTGTTTAAAGGTTAGAGCGATGTGCAAATTGTTCACTCTTAGAATCAAATTAGATTTGAGTAGGATTTGGCTTCGAGCTTGTTTAGTGGATTTTTCAAAAAGGATTAGATAAATAGATTGACTCTAGTTTTTATTAACAATTATCAGACTATTTTATACATTTATTGAGGAAGAGGAAGTTGAATTTAATTAAAACCTTCTATTCTAGACAACATTTGAATGCTATATTGCAATTTTGTCTCAGCCAAAAAATCACTTAGATATAACAATTACAAAATCAAACTTCAAATTTCGAACCATGCTTCATCAATTAGATATTTAACAATTTTAATTTATTATTAATTTTTAAATTTTTATTTATTTAATTCACTTTTAAAAAGTGTTACGGACTTAAATTTTTAAATTTGTAACTTTTAAAATTTTGACCAACAAGAAATCCGACGTATAATGTAACGAGTTGCCAAATTTAGAAGGCGTGCTATTTAAAGTAGCAGCGCATTTTTATTTTTAAAAGTACGCAATCCCTGACAAAGGTATTGCAAACTGGAATGAATTTTCCCGGCAACCATATAGTAATGTTGATTATGGTTTTGGGAAATATTAATTAAAATGGTTAAGACTAGTAGGTTGGGCAATAATTTGAGATAGAGTACCCATAATACGAGAAAGTGTTCGGATAATGGATGGAGTAGGAATAATGATGAGCCCTAAGAATATTACTGTAAGGGACAAAAGAGAAAGATTCTTTGGTACCATCATTTGTTTCATATATATATATATATATATATATATATTTGTGATTTAATTAGGATATTTAAAGAAATTAAGACGTTAAAATTTAAATTTAGTGAATTTAATTTTTTTAAATAATTATATATATATATATTAATTGAATTAAATCTCCAATCTTTTTATATTTTACTTACTGTATGATAAAATGTTGGAATTCTCTTATGTTATTCCATGATTATATATATTTTGAGTGATATTTCATTTGCAGCCCCCAACCATCCAAAAACTAGATGATGCCAAAACTAGTTGAAATTATTAAATTAATCTTAGTTCATCAACGTTTATCTTTTATTTTTTTGGTAAAATAAAACGCAATAAAAGTTTATTACTATGAATGAAGTAATTAATTTGACCTTTAAAGTGAAGTAACTGATCAAAACTCTTTGCAATTGATTGCAAGTTATCTAAGTGAATCCTACTATATATTCTATGAATTCTCAATTAATGTAATTTATTTTATTATTATTGAAATTTCCACCAAAAAAAAAATACTGAAACTCTATAAATGTATGTATTCCCCATCTTGGTTGTAGATTTATGCTTGTATAGGTCCATAACTTGTTAACAAACAAGCTTTCATATAATCGATTGTGGATAAAATCAGTTTGTCATATATTTTCTTGTTGTATTAAACATAAAAAAGTTTTGAAATTTAAGATAATTTGCTAGATAGAAAATTTTTCTCTTCCAGAAAAAAAAAAAGATAATGAGTCTTTTGGTGCATAACAATTTAAAAAATATCAAATTTCTTATCATTTTCGTGAGATTAATTAAACTAAAGCTTGGAAGAAAATCGTTTGAAAACACAAAGCATCGGCTGTCATTTTAAAAAAAGGTGATTCAAATTGACTGGAGGAAAAAGAACCAAGAAAATTGATAGGAGGAAGTCTAGAAAAACAAAATAAAGAAAAAAAAACATGGTGGATTAGATTTGTCATTTGTATGCAATTGAAACGGCTTCATGCAATTCTATTAGTATGTGGTAGCGTGAGATTTTGGACTACTTTGTGACATCTTCTCTTGCGCTTTACACCGAAATTAAAACCAACTCCTTCCCATAAAAAAATCATCTCTCTCTCTCTCTCTCTCTCTCTCTCTTTTAATTTATTTATCTTCTCTTTTTCTTTTGTTTTGTAAAAAGAACAAAAAGAAAGTATTTAATTAATTATGTTTCCTATAGATCAAGATGATAAAGCATCATATGTTAATGTTGTTTTCATTTTAAACCTTTTTTTTTTCTCTATCTCTTACCCGTACACTTTAAGAAATATTTATATACACAGATATCTCACACAAATGCATGCGCGAATAAACGAGGACACATGCAACAAATTTTACACCTATTCCCTTTTTCCTCTCTTTCATCCTTTCTCACGATCAATTCTCTATTTTCAAAACTCAAATCTATACTTGATGAAACTCATGACCTAGATGATGATGGAACTGAAGGATGGAGAGTAAAATCCAAAAATTATAATTTTTGGAAATTTAGACTATTAAAGTTTCACTACGGATTTTCTTTCGTTGTCTTAACTCCCAAGAAATTGCCATCTGGTGCATTTTCGAAGGAAATTATGGAAGAATTAGCTAGAAAAGAGCATTTGGGCAAATGGAAATGTAGATGTAAATTTTTCCTCTATTATGCAACGTATGGCATAACTAAGGTGTTGGGTATTGATAATTTGGAGGTAATTTTTGGAATTTCTTTTGCAGTTAATTTTTCATTGACTACAAATATTATGTATTGCTATTATAGGAGTCTAACATAAAATTGTTTTTTTTTTTTTAATTTTAGCATGAGGAATGAAATTTTGCATCTTGGATAGTTAGTTAGATATTAATTGTGGGATTTTAATTTTGGATAATCCATGGATATAAACATATTGAGGTATGAAAATTTTTATCAGTTGCTTGATATTGGAAAGTTAAAATTTTCCCTCTATTCAAAATGAGGAAATTTTAGTGTTTCATGAATGAATAAGACAAGAAAATGATGTGTTTGCTTTTGCCTCCCACAACTACTATCGTGAACATTTAAGTTCACAATTTTATACGGACTATTCAGATCACAATATTAAATCATATTTTCAGATGCTCTACCATTTCTCATAATTTATATAATATATATATATATATATATATCCATGTGTTTGCTTTGTTTTACTATATAGTACGTACATGAATATATCCCCACACATTTCACGTCCTTGGGGTATCTGATTCTTCATTCGTTAATTCATGCACTTTCAAGGATTGTACTATTACTTTTATATATATTACTTTTCAAAATTAAGTGTTATATATATATATATATATATATATATATATATAATGAGAACATGTGATTATCTCCCTACCTCTTTTCCTCTTTTTTTTTTTTTTTTGCGTGAGTGAGTTTTTGTCACTATAAATTCCAACATTATCCCACTCAAAATATATAGTGATCCAACCCTCGTTTATATTGAAGCAAAAAACAACTGGCTCAATGATTAAATCTCTTAATCATTCCACCCAATTTAAAACATATCCATTGTCTTCTACTATGTATTAATTAATCTCTTATTTCTATTAAAAAAGTTGCTTAATTGAGAGAGCTGCCCCAAAGCAATCATGGTTTGTGGTAACCTTTTCTGAATAACCATTCACTTAATAAGCAACTAAGAAATAATGAAGGTGGTGGCAATCCCACTTTAATAAACTAATTATTTTATTACTACCAAAGCAAGACAAGGTTCCATCCCTAAAAACACAAGCGGAAATATGCCATCTTTAATTTTAATATATACAGTACTTTCATTGATTCCATTTCTACATTAAATCATCATCACAATTAATTAATGATTCTTTTAAATTCTAATAATAAATTAGAAAGCTTATCTTCATGCTAACGTGAGTGAAAAAAAAGTAAATCCATGCGATTAAAATTACATTCTTTCCTATTGTTATTCAAGGAAGATAATTTTTAGTTTATGAGATGTGCTTTGGTCCACTCTCAAATCAATTTCATATTGAGAAGGGTTAACGATCAATTTATTTTGGAAATGGGTCTTATTGCACAGTTTAATTACTAGTTTTTAGTTTTTTAGATTTAAGCTTTTTTTTTTCTTTTTTACAAATGAGGATAAAACTTAGGAAAAAACAAAAAAGGAAGATTTACGACTATTGGTATCAAATTAGAATCCAATTCTTAAACGAGGTGACTAAACTACATAGGCAAGATTTTTTTTTTCCTTGTATAATTAATATATACATGGAATTCGAGTTAATGTGCATTGGCTAATTAAAATGTATAATTAATTAGATTCTTTTTCTAAATTTGAAGTAATTTTTTTACACGACAATGGTATGCATATAAATTCAAATTACCTTTATGGACCCAAAATAAAAAGAGAGAGGAGAGATAAGCAAATTTTCAGAATGTTTATAATTGACTTCAAGTTAAATATATTAACCTTTACCTAATTAAGTTTGTGGATAAAATAATGATTTTGCAATTTAAGCACAGCTGAAGTGCATGAGCATTTCACCTACAAATTATTTGCTATTATCTTATATAATTGTCCAATCATAACAAAAAATTACATAAGAGTTTATTATTTTTATAAGTTTCATATAAAATTTTGATGCATCTCAAATAGTTTTATATTATAATTTATTAATTATAATACAATAATTATATGTGATATATTGAAATAAATCTTAATGTGAAAAAGGCAAAATCAAATCACAGCCCATGCT